AGGAGAAAAGTCTTATATCAATGACTTCAAAATTTACATATGTGGTATGTTCTATTGAGGAGTCTAAAGAACTAGATCAGCTTTCAATTGAGGAATTACAGAGTTCATTACTAGTCATGAGCTGAGAATGACAAATAATTCAGTAGAGGAAACTCATAATGAAATCTCTACAGGAAAGGCTCATTGTCGAGGTTGTGTACAAGTTAGAGGACGAGGACGAGGACGAGGAAGAGGTAGTTTTATACTTGATTCTAGAGGTAAAGGCAGATGACACGATCAGCTACCCTAGTCTGATCATGACCAAATTTTGACAAGTCCAACATTTAATGCTACGGCTATCACAAGTACAGCCATTCAATATTAATGCCCAATTGATAATTCTAATATTAGATATATGGAGAAAGTACCCTATGCTAATGTTGCGGGTACAGTCATGTATACTACGGTATGTTTAAGACCTGATGTTACTCATGCTATCAGCATTTTAAACTGATTCATGACTAATCCTTGACCAGAACACTAGAGGCTCTAAGTGGCTTCTCAAACATTGGAAACGAATTTCACATTTAGGATTAGTGTTTAAGACCTTCAACGACTGAATAATGTTAAGGGTTTTGTTAATAATAATGTTACTAGTGATAGAGATAATAGGAGTCTAACGCAGCCTATATGTTTACTTTACTTTCTGTTGTACTTGTATAAGTTGGAAATAATAGTTGTAGCCTATAGTTACACTGTCTACTACTAGGTCAAATAAGTTGTAGCTACAAAGGCTGTAAAGGATGCCTTATGGATTAAGGATTATTAACTAAAATAAATATTATTTCCAAACCTTCTATTGGCTATTCTAATAGTCAAAGTGCTATAGTCTTGTTTTGGTAGCACCTAGGCGGTTGTGGAAAGAAGTTCTAAATTTTGGGAATTCCTCTAAGGCCCAATTCAACTCCAATTGCTCTTAGGACTTGATGCTGATATAATACCAATCTTTTAGACCATTTTTCAACTACAATTCAACCGTGCAAGGAGTAAGAAATTCAATGAAGAAATCAAGAATAACATTGTGAAGATTGAAGATCTACAAAAATGGTTTTTTCCTATTCTCCTCACTATGTTGTTTTATATGATTTTATTAGTTTCCATGGCTTTTGTCATGAATAAATTCCACATCTGGGTTTGTTGTAGCCAACTTGAGATTATGTTTTGACAATTAAATAGTTATTTCTTAGATATTTTCCTATTCTGATTATTTGTGTTATCGATTTTAATGCTTTCAATTACGTGTACACTAATTTAATGAACTGATTATTTAAGTTTCAGCACTCGAGAGAGGAAAATTTAGGTGTAATCGTAGAATAACACAACCTATATTTTATAGGTTTTCAGAGGAAGTATAAAATCTTTGAAGCATGCATTTTAATTTGAAATAAAGATATTGGAGTTGAATTTTAGGAATAGTTTTTACTCAACACTCGAGAAAAGGGAGTAGAATTACATTAAGGTTCTTGCTTATAAACTTTGAAAAATTGAGTAGGAATAATTAGATAATTGAGAAACATAGTTGATAGTTAGGTGAAATCACAATCCTAGGCTTTCTCATCTTGATTGTTTCTTCTAAATTGCATTGAAATTGTTGAATTTGTCACAATAATCACGTTATAATTAAGTAAAACATTGATCTTATAATTTGATTGTATAGATAAAATAGAAGCTACTCAGTTATAGTACTTAATATAAATTGATATTCAATCCCTATGGGTTCGACATTAGTATGTTATCTTTACATTACAAAACTTGACATCGTACAGAAAAAACGAACTCAAAGCAATGGTAGCACAAGTTGCAAATTAAAACAATCAACTGTGGAATATTAGAGACTATGTCGAACCATTGTCAATGAAAACGTCTCCGATATTGCATACCCAACAATAGCTGCAAATAATTTCAAACTGAATCCAGGATTGGTCTACATGGTACAACAAAATCAGTTTGGGAAACTCCACAAGATGATCCTAATGCTCATCTAAGTTCATTTCTGGAGATTTGCAATGCCATGAAGATGAACGTTGTTATTGAAGACGACATCAGACTCAGTCTATTTTCCCTCTCAGGGATAAAGTCAAAGTATGGTTTCAGTCATTGCCGTATAGATGCATCACAACTTGCGAGCTCAAATACGGAGTGGAATCGCTAGCTTAGATAAGCAGGCTTTGGACCATTCTAAGGGGCTTGGGAAAAATTCAAAGATCTACTTAGATGATACCCTTGGCATGGTTATCAAATTGGATACAAATAGAGATCTTCTACAACAAGTTGAATGGTTAGACACGATTAGTAGTTGATGCTGCACCAGGTGGTACTTTGAAGTCTAATAATGTAGAGGTTTCTTATATACTACTGGATGCAATAGCCACCAATAACTACCAATTGTCAAGTGAACATTCAAGTGCAAATAAAGTTGTTGACCTTTATGAGTTGGATCCCATTATAGCCCTTGCAGCTCAGATGTCATCACTCACAAACCAAATAACTGCATTAACTTCATAAGGGCTTTAGTAGAAATTAGATTCTATTATGGCTGCTTCTACTTCATACCAAGAGATGAAGATGGAAAATGAGCAAGTCCAGTATGTAAATGGTCGAAACCTCAACCAAAGCAGAATCTGCTTAGCAAATAACTACCATCCAGGGTGGTGAAACCATAAGAATCTATCTTATTACAAGACCAGGAACATGCAACCTCTACCTAGGTTTAATAATTAGAGTTCTGAAGGAAGGACATTTTGGAGGACTAGACAATATTGAGACTCATCTGACCAACAGAAAGGAACAATTCCTAGTGACACATATGTAAACCCACGAAAGCACTACAATGCCATCACACTGAGAAGTGGTAAGTAGATTAGAGAAGCAAGTCTAAAGAGGCTTCAATTTATATACCTGATTCCACAAATGTAGAAGAAAATATTGTTGAAGAGCAGAAGACTGAGGTAGGGACAACAAAGAAGGCTCCAAAGCCTAATTGAATCTTATTTCCTAATAATCTACCTATCTTGAATCCACAATTTCCATATCCACAGAGGTTCTTGAAAAAAAAGTTTGATGAGCAGTTTACAAAATTTCTTGAAGTCTTGAAGAGAATCTTCATCAACATTCTTTTTGCAAATGCTTCAACATAAATGCCAAACTATGCTAAGTTCTTGAAGTGGTGAAAGAAAAAGGTAGTTGGAAAATTTTGAGACAATAATATTGGCAGAGGAATGCAGTGCAATTCTATAAAAGAAGCTTTCCCAGAAATTGAAAAATTCGGTTAGTTTCATTAATTCTTGCACAATTGGTGCTTCTATTTTTGACAAAGCACCGTGTGACCTTGGAGCTAGCATAAATTTGATGTCCCTATTGGTATTAAATAAATTAGGTCTTGAAGAAGTGAAGCCAACTACCATTACTTTGCAACTAACTGATATATTCATCACATATTCCAGAAGTATCATTGAAAATGTATTGGTGAAGGTAGACAAGTTCATCTTTCTGTTCGATTTTATGGTTTTAGACGTGGAAGAAGATCAAGAATTACCATTAATTCTTGGTTGACCTTTCTTGGCAACCGAGAGAGCATTGGTTGATACACAAGGAAGAAAATTGACACTACGAGTTAAAGAAAAGCAAGTCATTTTCAACATCTATCAAGTTAAGAAATGCCATGAAAAAGTTAATACTTGCCATGTGATCAAATCAAATGATGCAGTGGTGGGTGAAAATTACCGAGGAGAACTGTTCTATGACCCTCAAGAGCAATATATTGCAACCAATTATTCAAGAAGTGATACACCTGCTACTAGAAGCTACACAAGGAGCAAAGAAGTGGTTGGCTTTCTCTTAGCTCATGAAGCTTACCCACAAGAAAGAAAGAAGAACTACATAGAAGAACCTTTGAAACCTCTCAACAATGTTAATCAAAAGAGGTTTTGAAGGCTATACCAAAGTTGAAGCCACCTCCTAATCCTTGTGTCCATGCTCTATTAAAAAAAATCTAAAGCCAAGAAAAAAGTTTCAAACATGAAGTACCTCTTGAAGATCCAACCTAAAGCATTCCGACAACATTAACAAATGACATTGAAGAAGCGCTTTTTGGTAGGCAAACTAAGCTTTCTACCTCTCTATCTCTTATCTTTAGATAATTAGTTTATTATTTTATTAATAGTGTATTGATAAGTTTGCTTTTTCTATATGTTAAATCTCAAGCTTTGGAGAGGAGATAGAATCAACAGTCAACATCCTTCTATCCACCATCACATCACCATGATGCAGTTAGCAATGACGACAACAAATATTTTCACTCAAGGAAGTTCTCTCCTTTTTCATTAATCTCACATTGGAGACATTGTTTAGTTTAAGTTTGAGGGTGAAATATTAATAGTCTATTGGCTTAGTTGTTTTTGTGTGATTTTTTTTTTTTTTTTTTTTTTTTTTTTTTTTTTTTTTTTTTTTTTTTTTTTTTTTTTTTTTTTTTTTTTTTTTTTTTTATTTTTTTTTTTTTTTTTTTTTTTTTTACTGATTTATGCAACTGCTAAAAAAAATAAATTACATGTTTGTGTGAATTAGATAGCCTTATCGACGTAGATATATACTTGAGAACATGTGTTGGTTTATGAATTATAATGTAGTTATGTGTTCTCGTTAATTAAATTTTTGCTTATTCATGTGAAACGTGAAATTATATATGCACATGAGTTGATTGTAATATTGTACATAAATAGGTTGATTCATACCGATAGGTTGAAATAGAGAACTTGGATGTCCAGTCCCATAACCTATGATTCACTACATCCTTAACCTTGTATAACATAATTTGGGGTGTTCGAGCCATGAAGGATATAATTTAGGCTTGTGGTGATTCCATGCACGTTGAAAAGAAATATTCGTGTGGAGTATCTTTAACTTTCAATTATAAGCTAAGTGATGACTGTATGCTAGGGATCTAGCCTTATTATTTTTTGTATTTATTGCAAAGAAAAAAGAGCATCGCACTTGTTGAGTCTATGCCTCACGTTGGCACCTTTTTTACTCAAGTTGGTAAGTCCGCAGGGGTTTCTTAAAACCCTATACCCTTTGGCCTTTAAAGCTGGGGAATTATAGACTGAAAGCTTGTTACATGGGTCAAGAAAAGAAAAAGAGGTGAAGTTAATCTCGAGCTGGAAAGAAAATATAAAAATAAGCAAGGAATTGTGCAATTGTGAAATTATTATGGAGGCTTTGTAACTATTGTGTTTGGATTGCTTAATTTGGGGATGCTTGATGAGTGGTTTACACTCATGATATTTATGCCGCTTAATTCGATAATTTGCTATATCTTGAGAGCTTTTAGAATGTTTTGATGTGTTTGCTGACGTTGTGATATAAGTTTGGCAAATTGATAAAAATCAAGTTTAATAAGCTAAAAGGATGAGAATATGAATTGACATTAAGGAGGCACGGAAGTTAGTAAAAGAGGCAAAGAAATAAGCTAAATTGAAGAAGAAAAAGGGAAAAAATTAACAGTGACAACCAACGCCATATCTCGACAAAAATTATGGTAGAAGACCAACGCCGCAACTCCAGTAATATGGCATCTCAACACCACTAATGCTAGAAGATTTTCAACAAAATAGCGCCATGCCCGGGGTACCACGACACCCTACATCAAGAAAAAAGTTTAGTACAATAGCATCCCAATGCCATTGACCAGGTGACGAGGCGCCAACCACCAAATTGTTCCGGCGCAATGGAGGCAGCGCCTAGGCGCTGTCTGAGGCGAAAAGAAGTTTTGAATTTTGGGGATCTTTTAAGGGCCCAATCCCACTCCAATTGCTCTTGGGACCTGATGATGATATAAATACCATCTTTAGGCCATCTTTCAACTATAATTCCACTGAGCAAGAGGCAGGAAATTAAGGAAGAAGGCAAGAACAACATCGAAAAGAAGATTGAAATTCTTCAAAAATAGAATTTTTTTTCTCCCTCTTCTCTTCTCTATGTCGTTTTTATATGATTTTATTAGTTTGGCTTTCTTCATGAACTAAACTCTATATCTACGGTTTGATGTAACCAACTTGAGATTATGTTTTGATGATTAAATAGTTTTTTCTTTGATATTTTCCCTTTCCGTTTATTTGTGTTATTGATTTTAATACTTATAATTATCTGATCACTAATTGAATGGATTGATTGCTTAAGTTTGAACACTCGAGAGAGAAAAACTTAGGCTTGATCATAGAATAACACAACCTAGATTTTTTTAGGTTTCAAGGGAAAGTGTAAAATCTTTGAAGAATATTTCACTTAAAAACCATAAACTTGATAATTTATTGATTTTAATTCGGAATAGAGAATTGGAATTGAATTATCGAAATAGTTTTTGCTCAACACTCAAGAAAGGAAGTAAAATTACAATAGGGTTCTTACTTATAAACTTGAAAAAGTTGATTAGAGATAACTAGATAATTGAGAAACATAATTGATATTTAGGTAAAATCACAACCCTAAGCTTTCTGATCATGATTAATTCTTTTAAATTGCATTGAAATTATTGAATTCGTCACAATAATCACGTTAGAATTGGGTAAAACATTGATCTTATAATCTAATTATCTAGTTAAAATAAAAGCTACTTAGATAGTACTTAGTATACATTGATATTCAATTCTGTGGATTCTACATCTGTATTTGATCTTTATACAATAAAATGTGACATTGTACACTTATGGTATATTTACGTATAGAAAACGTGTAACAACTGTGAAGCCAAAGGACCATTGGATCAAGATTAGATCAATGGTTGGTAATCAGGGTCTAAATATATCCCTTGGTTGCCCTATTAGGTGATAATCTGAGTTCTACCATTTGGGTTGATTTTCAAAATCTTCTTCTCTTTGCTCTTCGTGTTCTTCTTCCAAATCCTCTGGTTGGCAGTTGATTTCTTCTAATTTTCTTTGGGAAATCTAAACAATGAGCGTGTTTGTGTATAGAGAAATAGTGTGCTTACTTGTGGCTTCCTTTAATCAATAAGGGAATGCTTTAGGATTCGGGTTAGGGTTTTTATCCAAGATTGAGTGTGAGATACTGTATTTGCTTCAGGATTCGGAAATTACTTTGTGTTATTTTGTTTCTTGGTTTGGAGTTTTGTATAATACTAACAATGCAAGTAATTGATATTTTTGAATTAGAAATAGAAGTTAAGAAAAGTGTTTTGATAGAATTTTGAAAGAAAATTTGGGAAGAACTTGAACCCCTTATCCGACGGTCTTTTTCGGTTTGATTCCATGATATCTAACAATTCACTAGCTAAGGGATAATACTCCTTATATTTGCTTAGCTCACGTATGACTTGTTGGATTACAACATGGCTTCTGATCAAGTTATTGACATTATTCAAGGGCTAAGTGTTGCTTTGATGCAATTTGTCGACAATTGATTTCAATAATCAACCATTTATTCTTTGTGCAATTTTTCTAGGATGTAATTATATGTGATTTGAACTTGACTAAAATAAATTTGTTAAAAGAAAATAGATTATCATTAAAAACATAATATTTTACTTCATATGAAATTGGATTTTGCAATTCAAATCGTCTTAATGAAAATTCATCAATTACATTTTAACTAAGCATCTCCCACAAAATATAAGACAATAATAAAACTAGAAGCCATAAACAGTTAAACAGAGCTAATAACTAAAAGATAATTGATCCTGCAACTGATCTAAAGGGGCACGTACTCTCCCGATCAAACACGCACCCCGAGGACAAGAACAAGAATGGGATTGGGATTGGGATTGGGATTGGGAAAGGGATAATAGCAAGGATTCGAAGCATTGTGTTAGACTTTATACTTGCAGTAGTTCTCAATTCCCATGTATTCATGCCTCTCAATCTTTTTAACCATGTTTGAAATGCCAACTCCACCTGTTTAACGAAAAAATTAGTAGGAATGTATATGATTATACAATCATGTACGCATGTACTAAAAGCAGGTTAAATGGATCGAGTAAACAGTTGCACGTGGAGAAATTTATCTTGCTTCAAGTTTAAATAATTGAAAAATGGAACTCCGAAGAAATTCATGATTTTAACCAATAAAAAAATGGTGAACGAAGCTGCTTACCTAGAGCAATGGCACTCACAAAGATAATAAATGCAAGAATAAAGACGATTATAGATGCCCGTCCCATCTTAATAATCGTTTTCATCACGACGCGTTGGCCGATATACGCAGCAATAGTGGCAACAATGGCCAGGCAAAGAGCTGAACACAGAAATGCAGAAATTATTGATTAAATACAAATCTTAGAAAAAATGTAAATGACTGCGATGTCAGAACCAATACATGTTCACTTATTGTCGGGATTGAACAATCCGAACATGTTTGGTATATAGTATTTAAATAAAAACTTAAACTTCTGTTGAGTACCGTGCAATCCACAAGATTTGCACTCTTAGTTGGATATGCACTTACCATATGGAACTGGAAACCGTTTTATAAGGTAATATTCAACCACAGACATTGATGAGGAAAACATCATAGAAAAGGTGGATGTCGCACTTGCAACCTGAACGGAGGTATAAATATTAGCTATCTTCTCCATCTTTCACGTTTAACGGACAAGAAAATGGAAAATTCTCTTATATTTAACGATGAGAACATCAACTAAAAATTGATTAACAAAGAGTCTGCAACATTATTTTAGAAAGATCTCAAACTCACCTGAGGTGGAACGCCTAACTCCAAAAACAGCGGACCCATAATAGCTCCTCCTCCTATACCTAGTAGACCCCCTACAATACCAGCCAGTACACCCAACAAGGAATAGATTATCAATTGGTGCACTTTCAAGTTGGAGCCTTCATCTCCCTTAGATGCAATTTTTCTCCATCCCTTGTACAGGCAAATTGATTCGTAACCAGATACGCAAAGAGAGATGGGGATCTGGGGATCAAAGAATGGTAGTTTTAAATGCTAAAGAAATAATAGCAAATCGTGCAATCGGCTACAAGTTTCCCAAATAGGCAGATTACACATACCTGCAGCAAGTTCACTACCCAGTATATTGCTGAACATGTAGCAGTATAGTTCTGTTCAATTTGATGGTGAGTAAGTTTTAGAGATACTGATTAGTTAAGATGATCTGAAAGTAAAAATAATATCTGAAAGGAAAAAGGAAAAAAAGTGAAAACTTTGACGATTTGCACTGCAAGAAATGCCATCCAAACGAAAACAAGAAGACCGAGTTCCTTCCAACGAACATTCTCGAGGAAGCTGACCTGAGATTGTGAGTTGTGTCATATTTGAGAGTTTGGGAAATGCATATTAGTATGGAAATAAATCATACCTCAGGTATTGCCAAGCCGCTGGCCTCATTTTCCGTGTCATTGCGAGGGCCTTCTTCTGTACCATTTCCTGGTGGAACAGGAAACGCATATATACTTTATTTATTAGCTAGGAAATTATGGGCTAAAAAGGAAGAAAGAAAAGAAAAAGAAAAGGTGATCATTCGGCGCATGTTTGGTCTACAGTGTTAGATTGAAGGCGACAATACAATGGACAAAATTTTATAAATGAACTCACCATTTGCCTCCATTTGGTTTGCAGCCTCCTGCAGCAATACAGCAATTGGCATTCAATACGAAAGGAAGAGACAGCTATTCCAAGGACATGACGATCCAAAGAATACAACAATAAATTACACTTAGATTTTACCACAACTCAATTAATATGAACCCGTCTATCATATTGATGCTTCAAATGTGAATAACACGACACCAAAATGCTACCAAACTATATAAAAAAGTTGCGACGATTACCTTTTTCACAATAGTTTCTTTTTTCCATGCTTCAACTCCTCTGAAGAAGGCCCTAGTTGATGTGGCTGCAAGTTTCATATCATATTAAAAAGAGTCACTGAAGAAGGATAATAATAAATCAGTTGTAACACAAACGTTAATTACCTATAAAGAGAATTATTAAAAGAACAGTGATCATCCAATCGGCAAATATCACATTGAAAGCAACTCCGATGCTAATGCCTAGCATAAGCATAGGTTGTATGAAAACAGCCAAGTCATAATCGATAATTGGCACGTCAATAGTTGGATGTCTGAGCTTAAGATTACAGTAAACAGTCGAGATTGTAGCTCCCATGATCATACCTGTCAAATTAGAAACGACATTTTAACTTATCCAAGGAATTATTCAGTTTATCTTTAGCCATTGAACTTGTGATCTTCTATGGCTGAAAGTGTTTTCAAATCGAGAACTTCAGGGCCGTTAAAATATTTTATATGATTAGTTTCTTCTTCCATGATTACAAGGAGACTAAGAACTTCAGGTTGAGGCTGAAACTATATGCATAGATTCTCAGATTTGAATTAATTCAATCAACGAAGAACTTGGAATATCCTATCATTCCATGTTATATCAATTTGGTTTTTAACCCACATTTTGAGACAGCAGCTGATGATTTTGAATCAAATCCAATGATCAGAGTAAGCATGGGAACAAATATCCCACCACCACCAACGCCAGCAACACTTCCGAAAGATGCTCCGAAAAAGCCAATTATGCAACCAACAATAGATTTCCAGTTGAATTTCAGATCCTGTAGACGACATACTATATTGTCAAACGTTCCATAACAAGAAAAACCATGTAAACCTCAACTCATTACAACATTTTTCAAATAGTAACAATACAAATTTATGAATTTAACACTGACCCAAAGTAAAACACATAAATGTATGATTCTCCCTGGCTTAAGGAAGTTGTCACTTACCGTATTTGAAGCCAACTATACGAACTATCTTTTGCTCACATGCACACACACTTTTCTAAAAGTTACTCTTTTCTACAAATCCACCATTTCTTTGAGGTTTACTAAAAGTTATTTTTTCTGGTCATATGCATATGCGTAAATTCATACAAAACACAAACATGTATGCTCAAGTATAAGAAGATTAACAAACAAACATATCGTGCACAAATAAATAGGAAGGTAAATTTTAAGATCATACTCAATTTAAATATATTAAAGCAGAAAACAAATTGAATTTGAAAGTTAAAATTTAACAGAAGCAACGCTTTAACACACCGGCCAAAAATGCTGGTACCCAGATTTGTTGGCTTGCCTTGTAAAATTCTGATAATTTGTTAAAACATCTAAATCAGAATGTGAAAACTCGTTGGCATTATGTGTTAAAAATTTCAGCTTTAAGCTACTTCTTTCTGCAGAAACAAATATTGAAGCCAACAGAAAGCTCCAAGCAACCATCAGTAACGGTATAAAAGCCCTCAAATTTTCTTGATTCCCAGCCATTTTTAACCAAAATTCTCACTTTTCAGTACAAAATTTTCTCTGATTTACGTACAATCCCAGATTTTGCTGGGTGGAAAAGGAAAAATTTTGGTGACGGGTGGGAAATTTGAGGGAATTTTTTTGCTCAAAGTGGGTGCATGACAAAACTTGCAAGAAGAAGAAAAATGAAAAGCGAAATATATGGATTGTAAAGAGTTTTTGGTTCAGTTTGTCTAGGATTTTTGTCTGGGCAGTGGCCGCCGCCCACGTCTAGACGTAAAATTCCCAGCAAATCCGAAATCTCAACCAGGCTGCTCAATTAACGGGGTGTACTTAAAAATTGTGAAAATCCTTTAATAAATTTATAATCTTTCAAAATCTACCATAATCATAGTTATTCTTAATTTGAATTTTAATGAATTTAAATAGTGATTTTCTAAAATTTCATTAATAGAATGATTTTAAAATAATTGAATAGATTTCAAGTTTATATATATACATATATCTTCTGAAATTTCTACATTTTTATGTGATTTTAATGAAATTTGTGGAAATCTATCCTAATCCATGAAATTTATTGAAATATATATATATATATTTTAAATTCAATCAAAATTATAGTTGAGGAAACATTAAGCTTAAAAAGTGTATAGGTGTCTCCAATTAAGATTTTAATAAATTTCAATGAAATCATTAAAAATCTTAATTGAGGACATTTAATATATGTTTGATACCCATTTTTATGGAAAAAAATGAATTTTAAAATAGTAGATTGATGGAAAATGTGTTGAAAGAAGCAAGAAAAAAATGCATTTTGATAAAAAATGAGAATCAAACGGGACCTTAAATTTTAGTAAAATTGAATAAAATCTAAATTAGATACACCTAAATTTAGGAAAAAAAATTAAAATCCATCACTATATCAATCGATAACACCCTTTAGCTCCTATTTGGCTCCCACTAATTACATTTTAATTTTTTTCTCTCATATTTTCAATCACACAATCTTTCATAAAACAATATTACACATAAATTGAAAACTTTTTTTTTTTAACCACTCATTTAAAAAATATATATATTTTATCCATTTTCATTTTAAAAAAAAAAGGGCCAAACGGAGGCTTAATTTGTTACAAATTTCAATATTTTNCGTGCACAAATAAATAGGAAGGTAAATTTTAAGATCATACTCAATTTAAATATATTAAAGCAGAAAACAAATTGAATTTGAAAATTAAAATTTAACAGAAGCAACGCTTTAACACACCGGCCAAAAATGCTGGTACCCAGATTTGTTGGCTCGCCTTGTAAAATTCTGATAATTTGTTAAAACATCTAAATCAGAATGTGAAAACTCGTTTGCATTATGTGTTAAAAATTTCAGCTTTAAGCTACTTCTTTCTGCAGAAACAAATATTGAAGCCAACAGAAAGCTCCAAGCAACTATCAGTAACGGTCTAAAAGCCCTCAAATTTTCTTGATTCCCAGCCATTATTAACCAAAATTCTCACTTTTCAGTACAAAATTTTCTCTGATTTACGTACAATCCCAGATTTTGCCGGGTGGAAAAGGAAAAATTTTGGTGACTGGTGGGAAATTTGAGGGAATTTTTTTGCTCAAAGTGGGTGCATGACAAAACTTGCAAGAAGAAGAAAAATGAAAAGCGAAATATATGGATTGTAAAGAGTTTTTGGTTCAGTTTGTCTAGGATTTTTGTCTGGGCAGTGGCCGCCGCCCACGTCTAGACGTAAAATTCCCAGCAAATCCGAAATCTCAACCAGGCTGCTCAATTAACGGGGTGTACTTAAAAATTGTGAAAATCCTTTAATAAATTTATAATCTTTCAAAATCTACCATAATCATAGTTATTCTTAATTTGAATTTTAATGAATTTAAATAGTGATTTTCTAAAATTTCATTAATGGAATGATTTTAAAATAATTGAATAGCTTTCAAGTTTATATATATACATATATCTTCTGAAATTTCTACATTTTTATGTGATTTTAATGAAATTTGTGGAAATCTATCCTAATCCATGAAATTTATTGAAATATATATATATTTTTTTAAATTCAATCAAAATTATAGTTGAGGAAACGTTAAGCTTAAAAGTGTATAGGTGTCTCCAATTAAGATTTTAATAAATTTCAATGAAATCATTAAAAATCTTAATTGAGGACATTTAATATATGTTTGATACCCATTTTTATGGAAAAAAATGAATTTTAAAATAGTAGATTGATGGAGAATGTGTTGACGAAAAATAAGGATTTTTTTTATTTATGTGTAAAATTATTTTAATGAAGAATTTGTAGTTAAAAAGAAGCGAGAAAAAAATGCATTTTAATAAAAAATGATAATCAAATGGGACCTTAAATTTTAGTAAAATTGAATAAAATCTAAATTAGATACACCTAAATTTAGGAAAAAAAAATTAAAATCCACCACTATTTCAATCGATAACACCCTTCAGCTCCTATTTGGCTCCCACTAATTACATTTTAATTTTTTTCTCTCATATTCTCAATTACACAATCTTCCATAAAACAATATTACACATAAATCGAAAAAAAAAAAATTTTAACCACTCATTTAAAAAAAAATACTATTTTATCCATTTTCATGTAAAAAAAAAGGGCCCAAACGGAGGCATAATTTGTTACAAATTTCAATATTTTGACAAATTTCAATATATATATATATATATATATAATCGTATTGTTGGTATAAATGTGTTGATTTTACGGATTTATGGTATATAATCACTCTTCACATATTCCTACTGATTTATAGGTCCAAACACACGATTATATATCCAAGCACTCATTTTCTTAAAATAGTCAAAAGTAAAAGTAACTATTCAACTATGACAAAAGCATAAAAAATGATGAGATATGTTACATGTACATGCAATTTAACCGATTGGAAAAAAAAAATGGAATTGTTTTTTCAAATTCTGTCAAACTGTTTTCACTTTTTTATTCGAATGTCAAAAGCACCTGTACACGTAGCAAAACTCAAAAATGATTTATTAGCTTCTAGTTCTCCACGATTCATTTTAACATGGCCCCTATTTAGAGTTATTAAAAATGAGAATTTTAGTAGATTTTATTAAAATTGATGATTTATATAATAGAAAATTGATAAAAATTGTTAATTTCTTAAAATGTGTACTTGATCATGAATGTGGGAATTTTTATTTTTATTTTTATTTTTTAAAAAATTGAGGTTTCAAACTGGGACTTACTATTTCGTGCATTTAGGGCCTGTTTGGGAGGGATTTTTTACCCCAAAAAATTGATTTTTTGACCGTTATTTCACTATTTCAGCCGTAATTTGACTTCTTCTCTCACAGGTGGACCCCACTTTTCTTCTAACGGTCAAAAAATCAATTCTCAAAATCCTTCCCAAACGGAACCTTAGTCTTTTGTTTAATTTAGCTAAAAATCAATTTTGATTAAAGTTGATAAAAGCTGTGTATATAAAATATATGTTTAAAAATGAATTTGAGTACAAAAAAAAAAAAGGAATTGTTTTTTCAAATTCTGTCAAACTGTTTTCACTTTTTTATTCGAATGTCAAAAGCACCTGTACAAGTAGCAAAACTCAAAAATGATTCATTAGCTTATAGTTCTCCACGATTCATTTTAACATGGCCCCTATTTAGAGTTATTAAAAATGAGAATTTTAGTAGATTTTAATAAAATTGATGATTTATATAATAGAAAATTGATAAAAATTGTTAATTTTTTAAAATGTGTACTTGATCATGAATGTGGGAATTTTTATTTTTATTTTTATTTTTTTAAAAATTGAGGTTTCAAACTGGGACTTACTATTTCGTGCATTTAGTCTTTTTTTTTTTTTTAATTTAGCTAAAAATCAATTTTGATTAAAGTTGATAAAAGCTGTGTATATAAAATATATGTTTAAAAATGAGTTTGAGTACAAATGAGTTTAAGAAAATGAGTGCTAAACAATAAACATGGATTGAACGTAATCTGATTGAGATTGATCTCGCCTAAACAAATCACGATCTCTATCACACCGTTCACATTTCCCATCGGTATTTATCTATTTCACTAGCAATGAAACTTGGGAATATTGTAATATTTGTATCATCTTTATACATTTTAATTTATTGGCTTGCTCGACGGGCATATAAAATTAGTTTAAAATTAATTGAACACAAGATTTAACTTTTGACGAGAATTAGGTTATGTTTGAGTCTATTTTTAGGGAAAATAGATTTTGTAATAATGATTTTTTAGATAATATAGATAAATGTTCCGTGTAAAATAAAGATAAAGGTTACGTGTAAAATTATTTATTAGGAGAATGTGAATCAAACAAAGCTTCTTTATTTATTTATTATTATTATTATTATTTTAAGTGTGGAGAAATAATAATCTTTTAAATAATTGACAACTGAGGCACAAATATACTTGTGCACGGACGCTTGGCTATGACTAGTTACGATCAACATGTGTTGCAAGTTATCCTATGTTTTAATAAATAGAAGAGCATAATGAGTAGAATAGAAAAACAAATGAAGAGTTATAAAATTTGATTAGTGAAATTTGTACACTTATCTAGATCATTAAAATAGGATATTGTGTACTTTCATTGATAAATTATGGTTTAATTTTGTGTATTTTTCGTTTGTTAGGAATAACTCAACGATTTGAAGTGAGTTTGGAAGAAATGAATGAAAAATCAATGAAAACAGATGAATTCCAAATTTTGGGATCTAATTGTAAATATTCATTAGGTTATTTGGACCTTGAAACAATGATTGAATAACAAAAGATCAATTGGATGCAATTAAAAATCAAATGAGCGAAGTAATGAAATATAATCAAAATATTTTCTCCAATCCAGATTTTCAGTCACATATTGAGATCCATATTTCGCATAATAAACGTTCGAATTTAAAGAAATGATATTTCTAAAATAATTGTATCTATTTTAGTTAGCTTTTACCATTTTGAATCTCCTCAATCGTATATCGAAAGATAAAAATATTGACGACTGCACACTGATATAACCATGAGCGATATGAAAGTATCTTTCCTTATTTGATTGAAACTCTTTTGGAACACAATTTGAACGTGTATCTTGATTTGATTTCACCTTATACATCCGAAATATGGGCAGTCATTGAAGGGATCTTTCTCATATCTCAAGTCACGAAATCATTCAAGAACGAAAGATCATTCCAATATAAGTTGGAGAAGAGAACAAATCTACCATGTGGATTAAATCAATAAATATAAAAAACTTGAAGAGTCAAAGCAATATGTTGACTATCAAGGACAAGAATTAGACTATGACATCTCTTTCTTGTATTTATAAATTTCGGGTGATTCTTTTTATTTCTTCTTGTTGTAGTACTGAAAAACTCAAAATTAAGTAGAACGCTGCATATGTCATGGACAATAACTATTAAAAATGACATATATCACGTGTCTAATAAATAGATAATCGTGTAATTGAATGCACTCTACTCATTTGAATTCGGATTACGAATAAGATCAGGTCGTGTCTTCAATGTAATTAATTTATCTTCAAAATGAAAATTAAATACAACAGGATTATCGATTGTCAAAAACGCATGAATGAAACTAAATTACATAGTTGAGAACTGGGAATAGTATGATAATATGTGGATTCAAAATTTCAGTACATACGTCCCATATTTGGTTTGTAATCACTTTAGATAATTCAATAACAAATTGGTACAATTAGATATAAAGCTTATTCCCTATGGGACCATACTCTCAACTCATCAAATTTATTAGTTGTCAATGATCCCATACGCTTATAGGATTTACCCGAGCAAGTTTTTGATGCTGTTTTAAACTGAATTTATTGATTCATATTAAATTCAAAATTTTTTATTTTTATTTTTATTTTTTTTGTTAAATTTTACTACCCATCATGATCTTTCTTGTATTTGGTGTTCTTTTAGATACTATTCAATAGTATATTCATGATTCTGATGACAACAAAGGAGAAAAATGTTTGCAATAATGAATCTCGACATTAATGATGAGAATATGCTTGCAGTAAATATATATTGTGAATTTTGATATGGGATGCATTATACCATACAATGATTATATACATGCACTAACTCCTTTATATTAAAGTTCCTGAGGTATAAACAATATTTAAAAATGTTGAAAACAAGTCATTGACTAATCTGATGAAGGCTACATGCTTATGAAAAATTATGTGCATGCAGATGGATGAAGACATCATGCTTATGGGAGTTAGTCCTCCTTCATTGAACGAGAAGGTACTCACAAAATATTATAATGAAATTGTCAAGTTGGACGAAAGCAAAATATGTGTGGAAGATGTTGTATATTGAAGTGAATTTAAAATGTGGGAATATAATCCACTTGAAAGAGTTGATAAGAAAGAATTTTCATTGCACGTGGATTTAAGTTATGGAATTCAATCATTCAACCCAAAGCAATATCA